ACATCATCCTCCGGCGGGAGCGCCACGGTTTGGAACACCAGCACCGGTACCGGGAGCGSGGCGGGATCCGGGAAGAGCCCGTTCGGCTCCGGGAGCTCCGGTGCCTCCATTGGGGCTCCCTGGGGACCCCCCCGCGGGGACCCTCGACCCCCGGGATGGGACCCCTGCTCCCCCTCCTCGCGGTCCCCGGTGGTGCCGCCGCCTCCGCCCGGTCCCGGCGTTGGGCACCAGGATCTCCGGGATCCCGGGGAACCGGGCCAAGTCCCGCCCCGTGCCGGGAAGGGCCGGGATCAGCCCTCCCCCAGCGGGACCTGGGGCTCCTCCCGCTCTACCGGAGCACCGGGGACAGCGAGGGGGGGGCGGCTGTCCCGGTACCGCGTCCCGGAGGGTCCCGCGGGGGAACCGGGAATGGGGGCAGGGACCGGGGCGGCTCCGCTGCGGCCGCCGGTGACTCCAAACCGGGGCCGGTCCCGCCTCCCGCGGCCCCCGGTAACGGAACCCGGGGATGGAGGAACGGGGGGGTTCCTCCGGTAACGGAGCCCGGGGATGGAGGAACGGGGGGATCTCCCCGGTAACGGAGTCCGGGGATGGAGGAACGGGGGGATCCCCCCGGTAACGGAGCCGGGGATGGAGGAACGGGGGGATCCCCCCGGTAACGGAGCCCGGGGATGGAGGAACGGGGGGATCTCCCCGGTAACGGGGTCTGGCAGTGCAGGAACGGGGGATCTCCCCGGTAACGGAGTCTGGGAGTGCAGGAACGGGGGATCCCCCGGTAACGGGGTCTGGGAGTGCAGGAACGAGGGGGATCCCCCCGGTAACGGAGTCTGGGAGTGCAGGAACCGGGGGTTCCTCCGGTAACGGAGCCCGGGGATGGAGGAACCGGGGGTTCCTCCGGTAACGGGGTGTGGGAGTGCAGGAACGGGGGGATCCCTCCGGTAACGGAGCCCGGGGATGGAGGAACGGGGGGGATCCCTCCGGTAACGGAGCCGGGGATGGAGGAACGGGGGGGATCCCCCCGGTAACGGGGTCTGGCAGTGCAGGAACCGGGGGTTCCTCCGGTAACGAGCCCCGGGCAGTGACACGGGGGACACACCGAGCATTCCCCGCCCCGCCCGGCCGAACGGACACGTGCGCGCTCCCGGGGCCGCGGGGCCGCGCAGCGCCCCTCGCTCCCCATTGGCTGCAGCGCGCGTCAATCAGTGACGTCACCGGGGATTCCGCGTCGCTATTGGCTGGCGCAGGGCCCGGCCCCGCCCCCCGGAGTTCCCGGGACGCGGTTGGGATGCGGAGAGCGGTGAGCGGGGGGAGCGCGGGGTTTGGGGGGGTTTGGGGGGTTTTGGGGGGTCCCCGGGGGCTCGGGGGGTCCCTGTCCCCGATCCCGGCCCTTCATCCCGGCCCCGGTTCTGATCCCGGTTCTGATCCCGGTCCCAGGAAGCCGAGCCCGATCCCGCCCCTGACTCGATCCCGGTCCCCAGTTCCCGATTCCCGGCTCGTGATCCCGCTCCCGTTCCTCGGTCCCGGTTCTTGATCGTGGTCCCAGTCCCGGTCCTTGATCCCGATCGCGGTCCCGGTCCCCGGTCCCGGTCCCCGGTCCCGGTCCTTTGTCTCGAGCTCGGTCCGCGGTTCCCAGTTCCCCATCCCAGTCCCGGAAAACCCGATCCCGGTCCCGGTCCCGGAAACCCGGTCCCGGTCCCGGT